TATTGGCAAGCATTTCATTAAGCAACTACTCTGGTGGTCATTTTGCTTAAACATTGAGAAATACTCATGTTGCTTAAAGGGCCATTTGTCCACAGCTACCTCTCACCTGACCTTTATACCAAGGGACCCACTACAATGGTAAGTAACCACTAGAGCCAAGGTAAGAGAATGGAAAACAAGAACTGCCTATTTCATTTCGTGAGTTATTCACTTAAATAATGCCCCAAGTTCTGAAGCATACATACCATCTGGGATCAAGTCAAAGCATAGTTAGGTTTTTTTAAATTTAAAAATAATATTAAAACTGTCCTATCTTCTGATTTAGGAATTGATTAAGGAATTTTTGTAGCGTAGTGGTTCTGGCTGCTATTCTAATGGTCATTAGTTCAAAACCGTATCTTCTGATTGGGGGATTACCAACATTTTCAGAGCTGATCTTAACTTCAGCATATTAAGCAACTGGAGTTGAGAATTATTCACTCATGAATCTATCTGTTGGGTGAATGATGCCTGAAACCTCACACACACACACACACACACACACACAAAAGCTCTACATGCAAAGTCCAACAGAGAAAAACACAAAAGTAGAAAAACCTGGAACAAATCGAACTGGCTAGGCATATTCATGTCTAACAAGAGAAAACCTAGAATTTAGTAATTTCTCTTGCCTAGAAACTAAGTCTTTATGTCTCAGATATTTATCATCCCATTGTTATTGTTGCTACATGCTGTTGAGACAGTTCTAACTCAAAGCGGTTCCCCAGAAGCGGCTGATGCACTTGAACCACTGCCCCTGCAATTCAAACTGACCTTGTGGTCCAGTGCAATATCCTACACTGCTACACCTTTACTTCAAGACTATGGATTATGCTTTCAAGTCCATCTCAAATTGAACTTGTCAAGGTAAAACACCAATGAGTAACAGCTGTCCTCAAGGAGGACCACAATGTCACCAAATGGAGGACGTTAGCAGAAGCAAGCTGTAATGACACTGATAAGATGTTGTATGACAATCTAAATTAGGATAGCAACCTCTGGGTCTCATAATAAAGGATGTATTAAAAGTACCAAGAAACTATACTGGGTTCACAATACTGTTTCCATCACCTCCTCTCAACTAGGATTCTCAGGGAGTATTTATTAATATGCTCTGGAAATTCTGGCAATTTCCCTTCCAAGATAAGAGTACCCTTATCTCCATTTCAAAACATGCAAAGCTAACAAAGGCAAAATTTAACCCCTAAAGATCACAAGTATACAATAGCCAATTTTTATTATTTTTTTAATCTGTGAATTTCATGATATGCCTTATTTGGTGGCTTAAGGTTTTTAGATTATTTAATACTTTTAATCATTCATTATTAATGGGAAAAATTGAAAGCATCTATAAAAATAAGCCAATTACTTTCATCCAAATAAACACACTTTAAAATTTTAAACACACATAGAGCAAATTGCTATGTAAATGGGAAGGACATTACTATAATTCTATCCAAAGAGCATTTCTCAAATTCTAAATGCTTCATTTTAATTCCATGTTTTAAATTATACATTATACAATAGCATTTTTATGAGAAAATATATAAATGAACCTTGGAATTTGAGTCAGTGAGTCATTCTACTATGAAGTTCACAAATGTGCCTTTCCTATCTCGGCTATAACCCATTAAACATACTAATCACACCCACACATATGCTGGGCAGAGGTCAGCTGTAACCTGGTTAACTTTTCTGTACATGAGTATAAGATTAGTTTATAGCTCCAGGATGCTTGTTAATAAAAGCTAAAAAATACGGGGAAAAATGATTAACCTTCAAACGAATCAAAGAAATTGAATGCTTACTTCTTCCCCTTATCTAGAAAAGCTAAAATTGTCCCCCAAATCCACTTCAATGAAAACTGGTCTCTTAACTTTTAGAGAAATTCTTCCTTGGCCATTAGTTAAGTACTCAGTTGTTGTTATGTGCCGTGGAGTCGGTTCCGACTCATAGTGACCCTGTACAGGGTTTCTGAGACTATAAATCTACAGAAGCAGAAAGCCTCCTATTTCTCCTGCAGAACAGCAGCTGGTAGTTTCGAACTGCTGACCTTGTGGTTCACAGCCCGATTCGTAACTACTATGCTACCAAAGCTCCTCAGTAAATATTAACAAAATAATTGGGGAGATTTTAGAGAAAACTGTTCATTAGGAATAAAGCTGAACTTTATGCTAAAAAAATGTGACCTGTGGTAAAAATGATCAGAGTTGGTGTGGCTGCCCGAGGCTCTGCTGCAGAGCCACCTAAGAGACAAACAGCCCATCTATTCATCCAGAGCACCCTGGCATAACTGACTCCTGCCATAGCACTAGGCACAGAGACTCTAGCTTGCTGCTTCTAAAAAGAATCACTGTTCTAATTAATGTATTGCCAGATACACAGAAACTTTAGACTTAAGATAAATGTGGTCTTGCTACTCACCTGCTTTAAACATCCTTCTTTAGCTGCACATAAAATATTATTTCAAAAACTTTAAGGCAATTTGAAAGAATCTCTACAGAGTGTGACAGCAAAAAGAAAACAGTCTTTGTTTTTTCAGTCTTTCTAAAACAACTGGAAACTTGGGATGAAGAAATGTAGTTTTTGATAATGTTTACACAACAATTTCTTTAAAAAAAGCAAAAGAATAAACGTTTGGCATCAGAAATGTTTACTAACAACTAAACTAAGTACAGAGTACACTCTTAGTACAATACAATCTTTAACACAACTACAAAAGTGTATATACTCTTCAAATGTTGGAAAATTGTTTCAAAATGCAACTCTCAGCAAGTTTTTGGTAATTTATTCACAGTTCAGGCTTAGCATCACTGGACTTATAAGACATAAGGAAGAAATAACCAGTTGGTTCACTAAACTAAACACTAAATTCAAAGAACAGAAAACTGAAACAAAAGGGTGATTCTAAAATTTCCAGTTCACAAAATGTATTATTTAAACAAATACCAAATTTTATTTGAGCAAAATCACATTCAACATAGAACATTTCAAAAGTTAACAGGATCATTTCTATATTCGTTCTTAAAACTAGTATGGAAGGTATTTTGAGAACTTCCTAACTCTCTAGCCATTATTTATGGTATACTCCATAAAATATTTGATATCAAGTTATTATATATTTAAGTTAATATGGCAGAACTTTATAGCCATGCTAATTACATGTGATTTTTACTTTAACCCTGGGCAGTACTGGTTTGAGGCTAATGTTACCAGTTTTGCTGAAGTCAGCACTGATTCAAGCTAGGGAGACAGAATGGGAAAAAAAAAGATTTGTGCTAAAACTTCTAGAGATCCTAAGAGCTAGAACAAAGTCAACTGAAATCTGTTTCCGTGGGCAAAATACTTCATTCTGGAATACCTGTATACAAAATCAATTAGTAAATGTATTAATCTCAGAAGACTAAGTTATCTTTCTTTACCAATCCTTTCAATTTCTTTGGCTTTCACAAATTTAATGTTATTAATATTTTTAATAAATACTTTTAAATGACATTGTGCTTAAGTTGTACCATACAATAGTTATAGGTAACATTAACCTTTCTTTTACTGCTATTAAAAAGAAAAGACCTTCTAGAAAATCTTCTTGGGCACACTTCTGTGCTCTCATTACCACCGTCAGACACCAGGTGCCTTGGTCCTGCATGATGGCAGAGTCTCCTTAATGCTCTGCCTCCAGACTCAGTTTCCTAATTCTTCCCCCAGAAATCAAAATAGCATAATATAGTTTTTAAAGTTTATGTTCTACATTCCAGTATTGTGAATAGTATCTGGGGTCTTATAAGATTATGCTTTGCCATCCAAGAATCAAGCATTGACCTTTATTCATTTAGAACATAAGAGAAAAAAGAAAAGCCAAGAATGAGAGAAGTAACTGGACTA